GTGACCTCTAGTTCAGCAGCCTCTCCGGACAGGAAGCTACAGTGTTAGTGCCTCTCTTGTCCATACTTCAGACCCAACAAACAATTTATCCTCAACGGTCCTCAACAGACACCCCCACCCCCTTTCAACTTTCCTTGCCGGCAACAGCAACAGCAGCAGTGGAGGCAGTGGTGTGGTGAAGAAAAGGGCTTACTGAGCTTTGGAAGAGCATGTTAACTCAGCTTGGCAGGCAGTTAGTTAGTGTGACAGTAGCCGCACTGGATGCCAATAGGACAGGCACTGTGCAGCATCTCAATGACTAGAATTCACTGGGTCCACAGAGAGGGTTTATGGTCCTCCCAGCCATACCGCTCCCACCCCTACTCTCCATCCAACCACAAAGGCATTCAGCCTTTTCATTAGGATGATAATGGGGCAAAAGCCGGAAAGGGCCCCATGTCTGAGCACCATAAGTTGTGGTGATGGCTTTGTGGCAATGTCATGCGTGTCCATGGGAGCACAGTGTGCTGCTACAGTCCAACAAAAACAGTCCAGGACGGAAGAAACAAACAAAACACAAAATAAAAATGAAAATTTGAAAAGCAAGTGTCTATGACAAGGTAGAGCTGGCAAATCAGCAGCCTTTGGACCGTGACCTCACTGTGACCCATTCATGCCGCCGCACAGCTGAAACCTGAACATGGTAAACCATCACTTGGACGCACGCTTGGGCTGGACTTTTAATAATAACCCTTCAAATTCCTGCCGCAGTTATCAGCAAAGGTCTTGTGCGGCTCTCACCTTGCCTGACAGCGTTAACAGAGCGTGACAATAAAATCAGCAACACGTGGGGCCTGTTCCTATCGGCCCTGCAAGAATTCAAAACATTAAACTCTGAGCTCATGATACTAACTGTGTACACCCAGACCTTGGTCCGTGTTCAAATGAGGAAATATCCACCATTCTCCTGCCTCAGCAAAAAAGGAACTAAATTGCTGCTTTGTTCTATTAGAACAATGTCACCATGTACACCTGCATGAATGCACCTGCCTCATTTAGTGACACAGGTTCACAACCTGTTACAAACACCGCAACAGTAAGTATCTGCAGTCCAAACTATGAAGTGTGTCAAAAAAGAAGGCCCCGACAAGTCCCAGAACAAGCAGAAACCTGATCATGAGGGAAACATGGTCATATCTGAATGCATCATATAACTTACCTGCATAGAAACGTAACAAGGAGCCAATTTCAGTGTTAAGCCCTTCCTCTTGAACTCTCCATGGGTCCTTAAATCCAAGCTTGAAGAGAAAGTCATTCTGGATCTGCAGAGGCCTCTCATCTGGGCTAAGTCTCCTGACAGCCTCACCATGCAGCTGAACATACAGCATGGGGCTGGAATCACAGGGATCTCCATTGTGATCTGCTGTCAGCCCTGATTTCACAGCACTCTGGCCACAGTCCGGATCTTGGATGTCAGGTGTATTACCTGTAGAACAGGCTCTCGACAATGAGCCGGCACTACTGCTAGGTGGCAAGCTGCCCAGACTGTGTGGGTTGAGTCTGCTCTCTGGCCCCATATTGTTTGTCATGTTGTTTAAATGTTCTATGTTGCACTGCTTGTAGCTGGCAGTTACAGCACTCATCCCATTGGTGTGGTGTTGGGAGATGGGGTCCATGCTGGCGTTAGACGCAGGGCAGTCCAGCTCCAGCTCGTCCGAGGAGCTGCCATACATGTCATGGCCCTCTGTGGCGCTATCGAACGAGGGGCTGAGGATGGACGCCTCTGTGCCCAGGACCATGTCGTCGCTGAGGGAGTCCCTGTGCTCACTGAGCCGGGCCCCGGAGCTCAGGTCATCAAAAGCACTGCTCTCCACGTCTGAGCCAGAATTTAATCCATAGCTGTCCACGCCATTCCTGTGCTCCGAGTCGTCGTCGTTGGGGGTATCCATGTTAGAGTTGGAATTTAAATCTGACAGCGAGCAGGCTATGTTGTCTTGTGACTCTGATTCTGGGGTGAAAAGTTTTCCATCAACGTCCTGTTGCTTTTGCCTCTCATCTGCATCCTCCATGAGCAGCAGTCTCAACCTGTCACTCGGATGGCCCCTCAATTCCGTGGATTCCAGGGGAGTCAGATGGTTACATTTCATCCCCGCGTCTTCATTCACCTTGCACGGGTTATCATTATATTCATACTTCACATTGCAGTTGCCGTTTTGGTCAGTCTTGGGGTTATCTTTACAAAAAATGCGCATCACGGAGCTCGACTTACTGCAGAGTTTACTCAGACGGAGCGCCACCTCGCCGGCCGTGGTGTCCATAGTGCAAAGAACCGGTCTGGGATATGAGGGCGTCAGTCTGTCGTGGACATGTATGGAGCCCCGGTGGAGATCTGCTCTAACCCACTCGCGATCCGCGGGCTGCAGCTGCATGTTCTGTCGGTGTTTCAGCAGAGTCTTCCTATCCAGACTCCGGGTGTGTAACGACGCAGAGGACAGGGCCGAGTTCATCTTGGCGCCGCAGGCGGCGGTGACAGCTGAGGTGGCGGTGGCGCTGGCTGCAGCTGCGGCGGAGAGGTTCCTCTTCAAGCGCCTCCGTCTCAACAGGAGGGAGCTGGAGTTGCTGGATGAAGCCCGGCCATTAGACGCCACAGTTCGGTTTGACGCACTAGATCCCACGGTAGAGGCGGAATGAGAGAGGCTATTCCCGTTCTTTGCCTCTACGCGGGAGGGTGCCAAATGTCCACCGCCATCATCCGCCGGAGTTCCCCGGGCGACGGACAGTCCGCTGGGCTTCTTCATTAACTTGGTCGCGCCTCCATCCGACGCGCCATCCTCAGCGACGGCATGCACACTTTCCATCTGTGCCACTGAAAAGCCCCCCACTCTAAATAAATAACGGTGCGCACTTCGTTACACCTACAGCCTCTACATTTAAAAGCCTTCAAACGCGTGCCCGCCGTGGTAAATGTCCGCCGACTGGGCGGTGTTGCTGACTTATTCCACTGGTAGTCATCCACTTCTTGCCTTTCTTTCCCTGTCGGAGTCTCCTCCGCTGCTCAAAAAAAACATTTTACCGATTCAATTCGCTGGAAAAGGGGAGGCTGGGCGCGCGGGGACAGATCGGGTGGAGACGTGACTGTGCGTCCCATTTAGACCGAAATACAGCGCTGGAATATGAAATGAACGTCGGCCGACCTCCTACGCAAATACCGACTGCTATATATTCATGAGGACACAAGATGGGGTCGCTAACAACAACGCGGTGGATTGTGGGAAGTGTATTGCGCCGGCGAGCGTCACGCGGCCGCCGGCGTAAGGGGGAGGATTTGTGTCGTGAATACATTTCCCAGGTATCAGTTCTTCGGTTTCAGTCGAGTGAGGCGGTGAACAGATGAGAGGCGTAAACATAGCTCGTATAAAATGTTTGGTGTTCAACCTCGGGAGTACGTCGTGTATCTGCCGCGCTGTTATCTTCTTCAGGCGACGTGTGCGCGCACAGCGAAGGAAACCACCGTGTCACTCAGTGTAGTGAAGTTACTGCACACACACACACACACACACACGCGCGCGCGCGCAGAGCCACAACTTAAAAAACCCGGCAACTGTTGAGTGTCGTTGAAAACACGAGTCATTTATTATGGCTCCCCACAGTGGAGTTGTTTCTCTTTAATAAAGTTACCAAAATGACGCCTCGTCGTGAAGTCTATTTATTGTTAGACTAGAGGTGACTAGGCAAATAACTTCAGCACCATCTCATCAGGACGCCATTTCATAAGGCTATACAGCCCGGCTCGGTCTACGGGCTCTTTATTCTGTTGTAGTTCTCGCCATCTAGTGGAGCAAAACCATAATACAAGGCTTGACCTAAACTTTTTTTTTTTTTTTATCCTGTTGAGGACGCAGCGACCCCGAGGAAGAACAAGCCCGGTGGTTTTTTCTCAGGTCAACCCTTTTTCTTTGAGCCAAAAGCTGCATGCAAATCCAGTTTTATTATCAAACTGCATGTGGAGTTTCTTATAATCATTTAAATTAAGTGCAGAGCATTTGCACATTGACTTGTGTGACTGCCAGTGGTGGAATGCACTCACTCATTCACTTAAGAACTGTAATTCGAGGTACTTATAGGCTTTTGTCCACCCGTTTAAAGCATATGAACTGTTTCATGCAAGTCTTATGTTCCAATGTCAAACCCAGATCAGCCTTAGTATTTGTATGTGAATGCAGCATACATTCATCATGATGCCAAGGTGATGTTTGAATTAGTGGAAGGTCTGCAGAAAATATCTAGAACCATTCCAGTCTTTACACCTCACATTGTGGAAAGTGGTCTTTTGAGAGTGATTCATGGGGATTCTTAACAAAGCTGATGAAAATCTACCATAGTTAAAAGGATTTAAAGATGTCTTCCTAAGGTACTTCCAGTGGAAGTGAGCAAAAAATACACCTGACTATTGATTGATTCTTTAAGATGGGAAGATGTCCTCATGTTACATTAAACAACATTCTGCTCATCTGGTTACCTTTAACCATGTGTTTTTGACATCTAAATGGCTAAGCAGATTTTTAATGTGTTACTTATTTGCAGTCAGCGTCAGACGTCCCTCAGTTGAAAATGGGACAGCTGTGTTTTACAGTGTGTGTACCACAATATCATTGCATTCATAAGGACTTCTCTCACTCACGCTCTGAGCCTGAATGCGTTTCCACTACTTTAAAATATGTAACACAAATTTGCTATAAAGACCAGTATAATACAAGAGTAATATACAGGCCTGGCAGGATAATATAAGTAAAATGGGGAATAAAGTACTGAATGTACAAGGCAAAAAAATGTAAAGCAAGCCTGATTGCAAATACCTGACAAAACGTAAAAGCTTAACTTAGCACTGACAAAAGAAGCTATAGTCATAAATATCACAATAGTCTAAATAAATAAATGTGTCTGTATCAGTAAATGTATCTCTCAGAATTGCATGACATGAACAGCGATGACCTCAAAAATGATAATTCAAACAATGCAAATGCATTCAGAAATGGAATTTAATTGGCATGGTGTATCCTTTACATGGTATTCTGTATTTCAAAAATGGAAAAAAGGAACACTTTCAAATTCGTTCAGTTGCTCCGCCAACATGTAAAAGGAAACAGATTATTGCTGAATTCATGTTCCTTGATTCCAGCAAAATGGAAAAACCTCATGCTCAGCCCAGTGGCTCAGGTTTGTTTCTTAGAGCTGAAATGAGAACTGGAGCTTATTTGTATAAATTCATTCCTATTATGCTCTATTGTACTGAACCTATGGATGGGAAATTTCAAATAATGGCATGATGCTGGAATCATACAGAAGCTGGTTCTAAGACAAAAAAACCCCTCATATTTCAAAATCTCTGAGATTAGATGACCCAATTAAATTTAGATTTTTAAAAAAGGAGCAATGTGACATGACCTGTGTATTGATTCCGAGGAAAAACTGCTCCAAACTCTAATAAAACCCCTATTATTTCACATAAAAACCATAAAGTGCAAAACAATTTTCTGTGTCCTCAGTTCCCAGGTTTTATTGGGTCATCTATCCATCACTGATCGAGACCTTGAAAATAAGGGAGAACACATTTTCCTTTGCAGACAGATGCATTATAGTAGGCGGCCAACAGCCTTTCACCTCTACTACTTTTCTTCATCTGACCAACAAGAATTTCATATTGCAACTTTAAAAGTAATACAGTAAAAAATAATAAAAATATTCTGTGTACATAAAGCTTGTGAGCATTGGAATACTGGTGTAGGATCTGTGATAAGGTAACAAGACCGTTAAAGTGAAGAAACAAAATGGTCACAGATCAGAAATCCAACAATATTTTTACACACTTGGGCCCTGACCTTAAAACAGTGACCAAACTCTTAACAGTGCAAAGAATTTTAGCAATAAAAATGTAAAAATCCTGATTCAGTGAATTCACTAGTCTCATGTTTCAAAACTGAGAATGCATCATCGTGTTCAATTATTAGCCTTGAGACTCAAATCAAATCTTGTCCGAATGCATTAGTAAGCTGTTAGAGATGTTTTTGGTGGCTCAGCAGAGAAAAATGCAGAAAAGGTCCTCCTGAATAAAGCCTTTCACAAGTAAAATATAAAAGAAAAATTCAAACCCTGAAGTGAGATGTAGTGTATAAGCGCTGTAAAAAAAAAAAGAAATGGTGTGGAGTACACCTGTAGTTTAACCTTTTTTTCAACAAACAACAGATATTGCTTGGTCAAAAGCTTATGAGTATAAAAGTAAAGTGTATAATACAATGCACATTATAAGCAAAGAGCAGTAAACACAGTGCTGCAAAATAAAATAAAAATGTCAAGAGATAACAACCTGGTGAGTCAGCTCTTGAGCTGGGACATGTAAAAACACGTAAAATAATTTATGATCCAAGTGCCTCTATCAAAAACAAAAAATATATATAAAACAGATAACTGTTGCAACGCACTGGAACCAGAGTATATCTGCCAGCTGCTGTTTTTACATTAAATTTCTAAGATTGTGACAAGAATGAAACGTGGTCAAGCATGATTCTTCTTTAAATGTAACTTTCCTTCAGTATAAACAAAATTTACATTTGGAGAGAGTGCAGGCATTTGCCCAAACTCTCAAATTCACAGTTAGCAATTAGATGTCAACATTGTCGGTACAGTGTGAATTGCACGTATGAGGGAAGAAGAAAAAAGTCAAGACTACATAGTAATGACACAAAGGGGACTCTAGGGGGTGCTATAGCCTAGGAAAAGCAGAAGAAAAAAAAATATTGCACATGATTCTAATGTTGGATCCCCTCCCTCCTCTCCTGTGTGTCTTTCTAAGCCATTTTCCAAAGTCCTGGCAGGCGGCGTTAAGATGGATATCCTGCTGATACAGTGAGCTCAGAACAGTCAACCCAGCGTCCGTAAGGGCTAGAGGAGTTCGGAGTGACAGCATAATAAAGAAGAGGGATGGAAACATGTCCACTGAGACAAGTCCACTGGGTGTTTTTGATGATCCAAGGTACAGTTGCCCTCAGTTAGATGTTGAAAGTGTCAACCAATTGCAAACAAAAAAACTCTCCCGCTGTCCAATCACCGCAGAACTGAGCGCCTGCCTGAGAGCTCAGCAGAGAGGTTGAAGAGACAGTCGAGCAAATTCCATAGAGGGGCGATGTGAATCAACTGGAGTCATTATGTGCTACTACAGTGGATGGAGTAGTGGTGTGCCTGCATCTTGGAGCGTAGTACCGACTCAGTTGTGTGGGTCTTGAAAAGGCATTTCAGAAGACATGGCCTTATTGTAGAAACGGGCACCATTTTACTGTCCAGCACTTAAGGTTCTCAGTGGAGGAGAGCGCCGGTTCGGCACTGCTCGAGACAGTGAGTGGTGGTCTACTATGGTCTGTGAAACCTAAGAAGATGAACATAAAAAAGGATTGTTTCAAACATTTCATCACATTTCATCACCTCAGCTGGAACTGCTCTGCACTGTACAGCCAAAATCCTCCAGCACGAACAGCTCCAGCTGTACATGAGCTGATACTAAACGCCTGCATAGTCACATGCAAATGCATTGGTTCTGTACATTACCTGGTTAAATGGCGACTTGACTCGTGCACTTCCATCTCATTGCTCTTGAAATCGTTGAGTTCCTTCCGTATAGCTGCCTGCAGAGGACAAACAAGATGGAAATTTGAGAAAAGCTGCAGAGGCTTAGTACACAAACTGCAGCCGTTAAGCCCTGACTCTTCCTCCTTTTAGCATGCTTCATGCATCATTTAGGCTTATCTTGAGGCCATGAATGATTCTGCTGAAGTCTCTTCTCACATCTCAATTTTCTCCAATGGAGACATCCAAGAGCATGAACAATCATATGCAATCTGTTGCTGGTCTATTTGGGTAGTCAGCTTGTGTTTTTAACGATAATGAAGTGGTGATGCCGCAGATTTACATTGATTAAAACACACAGAAAACACATAGATATAACATGTTCAGTTTCAACCAATACAGCTTTATTTTTAGGGGCATCAAAGCTGCACAGTATATGTAAGGTGATGCACGCTGTCAGTCCTTGGGAGCAAAAGCTCAAGATAATATACACATGTTCAATGTGAAAAAGGACTACAAATCAAAGAAAATACTGGAAATAAAGCAAGCAGTGCTCTGGATGTTTCAATAGGGGACACTGTGGTGTAATTTTCTTCTTTAACCCTTAAATGCATGGGTGTTTTTTCAAACATTCCTTCATACCTCGGGTCTTTAGCAACCTAGCATTTACATAACGCAGATTAGCCATATAATTAATATGTTAATATTAATATTTAAATAATATATTTCAGCACAACCACTTGTATTTCATGTTTAACTGTACTATCTACTGACTGACTGACACCAACCAAGCCCAGATTAGTCAGCACAGTAATCACTAATCACTGCCCCGCTGTTTTTCAGTTGGATGGATCAACAGATGTGGAATCTCCTCAACTAGAGGTTCTGTTTCTGGAAAAAAAAAAAACTCTATAAAAGCATCCATCAGCTTTTGGAAGTTGTGGCACCTCTTTCCTTTCCTCTAGTCATGGCCACAGCAGCCACGGTTTTCCAGGAAAGTATGTTTCTTGGGAGACCTTCTGGCATCCCCAGTTGGAAATTTGGCCAGGAAAAGTGTCCAGGTTGAGGCAGTCGAGGTATGATGGTTTCCTCATCAGTCCTACTTCTCTTGACTCCTGTCCCATTTAGGGCTCATGTCGTCATCATCAGTGTCTTTGATTCCAGAGCTGCTGTCATCAAAACCTTCCAATATCCAAGGTAAATGCTGCTCTGCACTAAACCCCGACAGCGAAGCGCTGCGTCATCATGTCACTGTCACAGTAAGCTAATGTAAACAAACATTCTCATCAGTGCCTGTTTTTATTCATGGCAACAGTGAAACCACAGTGCCATCATGAGGTTATAAAAACATATTTTTTTCCAGGAGGGTTTTGGAGCACAAACTAAAGCTGTTTCACATTCATGTAGTTCTACACATTCACATTTGGGAAAATGCCCAGCAAATCATGGCTTCTTAAATTACACCACTGGAGCAGTGGAGGACTGAGCGTCTCCCCCGAAAGGCAGAATGATTTCTCAGAGATTTTAAATCTAAGGATGAGTCAAAGTTCCAGGAAATAAAATGGCATTCTGTGACTTTTTTAATAACCATACATCCCCTCTAAAATGTTATGTGTGACAGCAACCCAGCCAGGTGAAGTCATTGCTTTTGCTAGTCAGCATGACTCAATGGGATGTCTTCTGCCTTGGGGAGGATGCTTCTGCGACAGGAGAGCAAACAATATTCAAATTTGTGCTAGATGGTAGAAGCAGGAAAAAAAAAAAATGTCAGCAGAGCAGTGCTGCGGCTGAGGGGTCCAGAGGCACTGCTTGTCCGATTATTCTCTTACGTAAGGGGAGATGTTGCATAATCAAAACTCTGAATCCCCGTGATTTTCGCATGAGTGGTCCTCAGGTGTGACCTGGCGTGCTCAGAGTTGTGCATCATCAAAGCAAAGAAGGCTGCATCACTGCTCCATGAAAAATCAAGTACTCATTAAAAGTCAGAAACATGGACTGCTGGGCATTGAGCAGCAGGACTGCTCCAGGATGTTTACTCCTGAAAAGGGAACCAAGCAGCTGAGGTGGAACTTGCCATAACAAGAGGGAAGGCACACGTTGTCATACCATTACTTCTGCGTATAGGTTGCATCATATGACGCACACAGGGAGGTTGAGGGGAGCATGATGGTATTTGAAGAAATTTAAAAGCAGGGATCTTACGATTTTTAAATGATTATCTCAATTTAACTATAAGATGAGTGATACTGGCCTTATCAGCTGCTGTGAGCCGGGTCCAGGGTTTATCTGCCCGCCTGTCATAGTCCTGGGCATCTGACACCTCCACGTAGTCACTGAATCGGATGAGAATTTTGGCCTGTCTCAGCTCCTCTACAGTGGGCCTCTGGCTCAGCTGGAACAACAAAAGAAAAATAGAGAGATTTGCATATATTCCAAGTGTATATAGAAAGATTAGACAAAAAAAAAAAAAAGACCTGCACATCCGGTATTTCTTATTCAGGTGCTTCAGAAAGGAGTCACACTGCTCAGGCATTTAGGACATTTATTGAACCAGTGCATCACATTCATATTTCAGTTCCTGCAGACCTTCTTTAGAATAAGAGTTCTTTACTAAAATTACAAGGAAAAGACTAGTTTATCACTTTAAGCACCTTCAGCTTTGCACCTCATTTGCACAGCTCAATTTTATTGTGCCACATTCTCAGATACCTCTCATGATCTGCATGAAAACAAATGACATGATAAAAACCCATGAACTAATTAAGAAACAACCTTCGCTCATTATAACAACAATCTTAAAATGGGCTTATAAATATATCCTAAGAGAATCTGTATAAAAAAACATTACATAAATATCTATAAATGCATAGTTGGTGTGTTACACAGATAAGCCTTTTGGTTGTGAAATTACCAAACAAACAGTAAGGTATGATGCATACAGTAAATTCCTCCTAAACAGCTGCAAGGTTTTTGTTTTGAGCAGCATGTCTGCAGGTGCACAGAAAGTGCTATAATCTAATTGAAAGTGATGGGAACATGCTCAACACCTCCCTATGGCGTCGAAGGATTTGGCAGCCAACATGCTAAAGGGCCAAGGGCAAAGAGGAGATCGGTGTCTCCTAGGGGAGATCTGAGAACTACAATAACAGGCCCGACAAGACTCTTACTTCTCACTACAGATGAGTCACTGTCACAGTGTTTGTTTATCCTGGCAAACAATTTACCCCCTCCGAATGCTTAGAGAACAAGTGTGGGTTTGCACCTTTGGCGCTATTTTCGGACTCACCTTTCGTGTTAGCCTTCGTTTTATCTCCCTCTTCTCCTCCATTTCCTCTTGCTCATTGCGAGCTGCAGAGAATGAGAGTGTTATACTGTGAGTACAGGCACATGCAAACATATGAAACGTTTAGAAATTACTGAAAAGGGAACAAACACCATTTGCATAATATGGCTCATTACATTCAAACTAAACTGGATACGTTTCTTAAAGTTTAAAATAGTTTCCATCATTGGCTGTTTAATACCATTAGGAATGGGTATCAGGGGAGAATGATTGCTTTGTTCCCTTCAAGTTGTCCCAGGGCTTTTTTTTGTTATGTCCATGTTTATGATCAAGTGATTGACCTATTTAAGAATTTCACAAGTAAAAATGCACATGATGTTCTTACATCTCCCCTAAATTCCCCCATGTGTTCTAATATATATTCAAAGTCAATTACAGAGACAAAAAGGCTCACAGGAGCAAGTTAAAAGGAAAGACAAGAGTAAACAAGAAGCACACTGGGATACTGCTCCTGTTTGCAAAGGCTTCTGCAGTCAAACTGCATTTGTGCTTGTGCTGAACACATACTGCATCTATAATACTACTCACAGTTTTGGAATCTCTCCTGAACATAAAGCCCTGTTTGTTTAACCTTGCTACTGTACGTGTGCGAACAATGGGGAGGACATGACTTGTCACTCATGAATTCTTCAACTTTGTATTCTCCTCCTGCACTCTGCCAATCATGCAGGAGACTCCAGAAGAGCGGGAACTGCTGGTAAATCAGTCTTTGATGTGAGAGCCACAGAGTCCCAGGCAACAGAACTGCTTTACTCTGATACTGCATGTGTTTGAGCTAAGAAACCAGTCTCCTTGGACATGACTCCTCGGGGAGCCCTGGTGCCTGCCTGCCTCGGATGAAAAGGCAGACCGAAGAGGAATAAAAGGGAGAGATGTATGCCACTAGCTTTCACATAACTAGGTCTCTCAAATCACTAGGCTGCACTATATGAAGCCTGCATGCACAAAAGGTTGCTGCAAATATGGAGTCATGCTTTAATTTACGGTTAGACGAGGCATTTTGGCAGTTTTGTCAAACTGTTCCGACTTGTAAATTGACTATAGCAGCTTTGAGACAATGTTAAAGACACTCACGTTTGAGGATGTTCCTCTGTTCCAGTTCCTCTGCTGTGGGTCTCTGACTCAAGCGCCTGTTGAGAAACATGGATCCATGGTCAGCACAAAATCACAGGCACCAGGGTCAGCAAGGAAATACTGAATCAGTATGGGGGGGGAAGCTTAAGTTCCTCATGCATATCCACCTACTTTACACGTAATCATCCAATTGCTGTCATTGTTAAAAAGAAAAACTGGACAGACATTTCACAGGTTTTTCATAACGACACATAGTTCAGAAAAGCTGCTCAATAGCTTTGTAGCCTTTTCTTCTCTAAATGATGCTCAGTATTCACTTCACTGCTTTCACAGGAACTCCTAGCAAGGTTATCTTATTGACATTTTCACTCACAGCATGAGTACTTTTACAACTCACAAATCTGGGTTTTAGAGTAACATGCAATGTGTTAGACCCAACCTGAATTAAATATACATGAACTCAATGCTTCCTCACTTTGAGTACCACTTATTTATAAGCAACAAGGTTATTTTATTTATTTATTTTTTTTGTTGCATAGTTTAAAGATTGGCATCTTAATTAAGCTTTTGCATCATGACAGCTTGACATATTCACTTCCCAAAAAATCAGATAGCCATGATCACCAATCCCTCTCTTCTAATTGAATGACTGCATGATAATACATTGGTGCAATGCAGGGATGAAGGCCAGTAAAAGAAAGATATTCCTGAAGACTCAGCTCTCATCCGATGCTAAATAAGGCAAATGATACGGTCACATGCCAGCTTAAAAGGTAAACACTCAAGACTGCTAAAATAAATCTACCAGACATGTTTACACAAAGACACATGGAACATGACATTCAGGCACTGTCACGCCATTTCTGTAACATCAAAAGGGATGTGTTTTGCACACATTATCTCCAATTTCCTCAATTCGTAAGTGACTGAAATGACTAAGATACCCAAAGGCAATCTCTGAAAGGTCACTCGAAGTGCTTTCAACTGGGGAATCTTAGAATAGCACTGTGTCAGGACCCTGCGGCAGCAGACCTAACTGTAGGCACTGGATCAATGATTTTCTCCATCTTGTTAGATATGACAACCATCTGGAGCTTTTCAGCCCTGTGAGCTACTGTATGCAGGGTTAGGTCTGTTCTCAGACCAGCTTGTCTCATCTCGTGTTATTTTTTGTCCCCCTAGAGGGAAAAGTCAAGACACTGAATCTCAGACTAGAGCTCTCAGCCTCTCAGTGTGGCCAGAGCATTATATCAGCATTATGTCAGCAAAAACCCATCTACCGTAAATAAACATGCACAGACTAGTCAACAAACACCCATATGAATGCTCCTTCCCAAATAACAACCCGGTTTATTTATTTAAGGTCATTATCAACTAAGTGCTCTCTGACCGTTCTCTGCAATGCGAAGACGAGAGACATACGAGAGTATAATGGAATTATATAAGGAGTTAACCATTTCATAAACGTTTGTGTAATAAGAATTTGTGTAAAGCTGTACTAATCAATATTTTTATATCAACAATGGATCAAATAACGTGTAATGTGAAAGGAGTCACACATAATGACAAACCCACAAATAATTATCACCAAACTTTGCAGGTCCCATCAGCTCTACGGAGCAGTTTAGTGTCTTTCAGTTCATTGTTTGACCAACTGAACTGTTTTGGGTCATTCTCATCAACCTTGTTCTCAGCAGCAGCAAAAAGCAGTCCGTTTTCAATTAAAAAGCTCTAATAAACCTGCCCAACAGCAAGCAGCTAACAGACAAGACAAAGTTAGCTACTAGGTAGCGACATAGTAGATTTCACAGCTAAAGAGGCAGATGTTTTTTCTCAGTGGTTGGTGGAAACAGAAACAAAGCTTAAAAAGGAGACTGAATATGGGACTTGCATCCACAAGGTGGCCAGAATTGTGACTCTAAATGAATGCTTATTTTAGTCTGTGTCTACTGGATGGGTAAACAGGCAATAGGTTTGATAATATAGGCCTACCACAACAACTTAATAAGGTGATATGTTTATTTGTGAGCTTTAGAGGTGCTGGTAGGTGGATTTTTTTTTATTAGCCGTCTCTCCCTTCCTCAAGCCTTTATGCTAAGCTAACCCTCTCCTGGCTGTAGCTTTATATATATATATATATATATATAAAAAAACCATCTGGTGTTCTTATCTAACTCAGCAAGAAAGCAAATCTCCCAGAATGTCAAACTATTCCTTTCCTCAAGAAAGCAAGTCTCCCAAAATGTCCAACTGTTCCTTTAAAAGACATAAAATACAACATAAAAAAAACAAACATATTAAAGCATGAAAGAATCACAAACAGTAAGCCAAAGACACAGCAGTGTTTATCAACTTTCTCAAGGGTAAAAGCTAAAACTCTTCCGTTCCGTTTTTACCCTTGAGATAAAGGCTCTCCAGGGTTTTCCCAGTGAATCAGGTCAATAGAAGTAAGTTGAGGTCAGAATGTCCTAGAATCAATTCTGTTTGGCTTGGCGCAAGTGACAACATTACAGGACACAATGCTGTTGGCAAAAAGCATAAAATTAGGAATTGTGCATCAGATGACACTGTGCAAAGGACACTGTGACAGAGCTTTTTGGGAACATAACCAATAAGCAGGCAGGCCTTCTGGGAACATGCGCTGTGTTCCAATCACAGTGGGGAATAATGACTCGTGTGCCAATGTCTCTAGATAATACTCCATCCCTCCATTGCAACCATATTTCCCACGTCTCGTATCTTATTATACTATCCAAGCTTTTACCCAGTCACTCGACGGTCTTTTCCTCTTTTAACACGCCATTACATCCCCTTCATTCAGACAGGCGAGTCATGTTCAAAGAGAAGAGTAAAATCAAATGAAGCCTGTGATCCCTTGGGGAAAAAACATAACGTTGTTTGATCTGTCCAATTACAAGAACTCACAATTATGATCTTAACATATGTATACAAATTCCTGTGTTTTGTACGCACTGCAGCAGTGTAGAGTGTGTGTGTGTGTGTGTGTGTGTGTAAACTGCTGGTATGAAATGGCTTGCGTGGTGCTGCTGTGTGGAGGAGTCGGGTGGAGATAGTTTGGCACATGCATCACCGTGGTGATTCAGTCAGTCGAGGGAGGAAGTCAGGCAGGAGGAAGAAAAAGGAGAGAGGGAGAGTGAGTGAGTGAGATAGAGTTAGAGAGAAGACAAGAGAAGAAAAAAAAGAGGGGGGGGGAGATGCATCGCTGAAATTAGGTCAGCTCCATTTTCAGAGCTTCATTTTAAACGAGATAAAGCGTTTATCTTTATCGGATGTTGAGACAGGAAAAAAAAATAAAGCATATAAAAGTGTTTGGGTAGAAAAAAGGCTCACATTTGCATCAGCTTTGGACTGAGTCACAGTTCTATCAGACAGGATATTGGGCCAACGTCAGCCCAAAGTAAGACAAAATGCTCGGTTTTGTCTGTGAGGAGTCAGTGCCGCTTTCTGGCCAGCTGTTGTTAAGTCGACTGCAGCAACATCAACCAGGTTTGCTGAAAATATTTGGCCCATGAATTGTGCATGTGTGTAAATGTATTCCGAGTTTAAAAATACATGCGCGTGACATGTCTCACCTTGTGAGTTTGGTGCCTATCTGCTGCCTAGACTCCAGTCTCTCCTCATCTGTCTGCATGGGCAGGATGTTTTTCTCCTCCAGTTCTCTTTTGGATGGACGGTTACTCAGCTTGATGGCCAGAGAGTCTTTCCTCAGCACTTTCTGAGCCAGGGAACCTAAACCCAAACACCATAGTCACACATGAGAGGAGCTGCAGGCATGAGGCATAGATGTGGAGCCTCATTTACCAAAATTATCTTTGACTTTTTCTTCATTCTACTGTATCTGTGAACTGTATCAAATAGATTACACCTTGGATTTGGACTACAAAATTAAAAATAAAAGTTAAAGATGACACTCAAAACTGCATTCGTAAATAAAAAGGTGGTAAATGTTGCCTTTTGTTCGCCATTTTATACTTAAATGTTATATTTCTCATGGTTATGATGATTTAAATAGTGGCAAAATGTTTGAAAAATTTCCAAATACGGAATACTGCTCTAACCTTAACATCTAAGCTATGGCGATTTTACTGTTATTGGATTTTTTGAGTAACTTCAGATTTTCTGCACAATACATGAAATGTTTACCTGTACATAGATTTGGAAAAACAAGATTCTAAATCATATTTCTTGCAGGTTTAAAGCATAACTCACACTTTCAATGCCCCTTAAGGGTCATGATGTGGCATATTGAGCAATTCCATCACACATGGCCAATCACAACCTTTAAAAACTCCAACATGCTCCCATGTGGAAACAAGGATACAGTGTCAAAGACACGAACAGCTTTGCACAGTTCAGCAGTTTTGCCAAGAGGTCGCAAGTGGAAAGTGTTTCCATGGATGACAGCATGATGCTGGATCCACTTCTGTGAACCTAATTCTGGCCCTGCTTTGAAGGTCAAACTACATCTGAGTTCTGAGAGCCTTTGGGTGAAGCTAGCAGTACTGTCATCATATCTGTAAACATGAGCTATCCTTACCGACAAAATAGACAGACAGTTCTTCTGCCAAGGCACACTATTTATATATATTGTTTCAAGCCCAGCAAAACTGCTGCCACTCACTTGTAAATATGGAGTCGTCATCTTCATCGTCGTCCTCGTCGTCATCCACGTCATCGTCCTCGTCCTTATACATGCTGGGCAGATCTTCATAGTCAGACTCGTCGGGCATGTTCTCCTTGTCATCCTCATAGTCAATGATCACAGACGGCACTTCTCTTCTGTCCAGGGGAACACACTGACCAACACCGTGCAATGCAGAGCTGGTGGAGTCAAAGGGACAGAATCTGGACATGAATGTAAAGGGTCATGCTTATGGCCAACACCATTTGGCCATGGTAAGACGATGAGCCTATCCATCCCCAACAACAGTGAAGGCAAAAATCCAATTTGCATGGGAAACCTCATATTTCAAGCCTAGCTCTATATCATTGTACTATTACTGAAACAATAAACCATCTCAATCCAGATAAAGGAAGTGATTTAAAACAATAAAGGGGCTTCTGGTACATAGTCTAATGATAGCTTAGTGGGATTTTAATCCAAGTATAGAGGAGATGTATAACTCCAGCTGAATGAAACTGGAGAGCCCGAATACACACTGAGCACAATTCTGTGCAGTCCTACGCAATGCCATGCAATCATCTGAACTACACAAGAGAGAAGAGTAACTGATTATACAACTTGTATAATTCAAAACAAGGTGACACAAATAAACTTTCCTTTCAGGAGCACATCATTTACATGCAATTGCCTACCGCTGACATGTTTGGATAAGATTGATTAAATCAGTCTACTTGGAGCTCCTTATGATGAGCCACAGTTACGTAACCATTTTCAAGCTTTCAGACTAATTGTGAGAGATGTCAGTTCCATTACTTCCTTATCCCTGCCCAAATGGCTTTGGTGAAAAAGAGAGATCCTAATGTAAGAGGTTACATAATGTCCAATCCGCTACCCTGTCCCTTTTCTCCAAACACGAAGAAACGCAGCTCTTGTAAAGAGCAGCTGGTCATGTTATGTCAGGCCAACTGCTGGAGGGACGCCTACTCCATGAGCCTGTGCCCACACATACACACATTTACTTCAAAATTAGGCCATGCTGCCCTGTGAGGCAGTGTGCTGATTTAGACCTGTACACCAGTGCTACATGTCAAGAGGCGACCTCAATAACATATTTATATATCTGAGAGTAGCGAACAAGTCACCATAAAAATAAAACCTAATAAACAGGGCGCTCTAAGCTAATTTTAAATGCTGTTTTTTTTTCTGTAATTACTCTGATTAGTGCCGTTTTGGCAACAGCTTTAATAAACAAGAGATTAATTTTATTTGGGCCAATCAGTATTAAGTTATTACTTTCATTGGTGAAATGTTTTAAATGCCAGCATGAACGCATTTCAATCCCCAAATCCAACCAAGATATTATGTGTAATGTACAGACAGAAAGAAAAATAGAGGCTTATCCATAATCCCTCCCTGCCATCACTGGAGGACAATCAGATTTAATGACCTGAGCACTGATGGCTACTAACCTTTCAAACCTCTGCATGGAGAGTGCCAGGGTTTTATTGAGCTCCTCGATGATGCGGCTGGGCGTGTGCAAGCTGCCATACTGAAGTTGGAGCGGGTGACCGTGGCTCTGGTGGAGACTGGATAGGCCTGCAAGTTGAGAGGGCAGCAGGGTGCCGTGATGGAGGGTCATGCCCTGGAGAGGGGCACACTTTTGGGAGAGAGCGCTGAGGGGATTGGGGGATGGAGAAGGGGATGTAGAGTCCAGCCCCCCTGGAGGCACACAAATCATCACTTTCTTGGGAGGCAGAGGTGGAGAGTGCTTTCCCCCGGGCATACAGGGCAACTTCATTGGCTGGCAAGAATCTAGAGAGAAAAGTGTAACAGGACAGAAAGAAGCATTACTGAACATGTCTGTTGGGTTAACTTGTGTTATATCGCATCCACTACACTTTGCTAATGCACACAGATAAACAGAGCTCATGGACGATCAGACATGGCTCAGACGTCAGCGCAGAGTGGTGGGAATTAGGCCAGGGTAATGCCACTTCCCTCTGACTGACAGATTGACAATGACAGAGAACCCAGCTGACCTAACCACAGGGGAATTTAATGAGACTACTATAATCCTGTGCACATGTGTGGCAACGCAGGTAGGGTTTAAAGCAATAGCAGTCATGGCTCATTTGTCAAAATAAGTACATAGGTAATATACAATAGGTATATACTGAGAGAATTCCACATATGTGACGGTCTGAGGTAACGGGTACAACTATTACTGTATGTTGGTTTAGAGAAGAAGGGAAAAACCAAGTGCCCAAGCATAAACTAAGACCACTGACCTGTGCTATGGTTTGGGATCCTAGAGAAAGGCTTTGGAGGGAGAGCAGGAGGCTGTTTGTGGTACATCGGCGGCTTGGCGGGGGTATCCTGAAGGTCACCCGGGTAGGTGACAGATTTCTTGGTGGACATGATCATAGATGACTTGATAGAGGGCTCCTGAGTACAGACTCCGCCGTCCATCGAGGATCGGAACTCAACGGTCGCTGAGCACAAAAAAGTGACAAGAGAAGTGAAAACCTGACAAGCAATCGAAAATTTGTTTTGCTGCACAACAAAGACACGTCTCATGAAGACTGTTCAAAGTTTAAAATGAACTCTGAGTTGAGTTTAGAAACAATGGGGGGGGGGCACTGTTCAACCACCCTGGAGCCTTTTATCAGCACAAACCAGACCAAGGAACGGTGTCGGCAACGCAGTTTGACAGAACTTTTGCTTTTTAATGCTTTTACAGCGCAGAGCCATTTGATGGTTTTTGTATGATCACATTTTAAGGCTGACAGCGCAATACACAATGCTGCTCACGTATTCCGACAAACAATGCATTTATATTGGGAGCTCTCCCTTGTTCCCAAATTTCATCTTGACTGAACAGTCTTTTAAAACGGAAAACCACAAGAATGCTTATCCCTGTATGATTTAGCAAACAAGGTTAGTGTCTAGACTTTTTAAACATTCAGAAAGTCTTCCAAGGGATTTTGAGGGGATTTTTTTTTTTATTCTCATAAGCAGCTCTCATACAGATAGACCTTCAAAGAGCCTCATTTTGAAGCATCTCCATGAGGAAAGATCTGATTGCATCTTTAAATTCAGCCACAGAGAAGTTGGCCTCTGCACCATTTAATAATTCTAGCCTAGACTAGTGGTAGAGTTTGGCTGGTGTGTGTCACATTAAATCCAGGCACACAGAGTGCCAGTCGAAGACGGCATCCAGTTAAAGCCGATTACAATCCAGCAGCCAATCAGATGAAAGGTTCACACAGTTTTTTTTCTGCCAATATGAGATTTCTTTTGTTTTTAATACATTTCTATTACTTGTTCCCATGGGTCTATTATTTCTATTTTGAGCATACCAGAGTAGAATACATTTTGTTGTACATCTATACATCAGAGGGATGTCAGTGCTGATAAAAAAATAATACAGCTTTCACAGATTTAGTAAATGTAAAAATAACTACTGCTGATCTATCGAGCTGTGCACACAAGCCTTTTTCTGATTATGGAAACTAGGTTGTCACTGGGAAAGAATTGAGCACACCGGGCCTCATTAATATACATTCTAAGGAGTGGCACAGTTATTGTGCAGAAATAGTGGAGGTAGCCATTCAGTTTATTTGGATTTACTGAGCTGGACAATGTCTGTCCGTCTTTGTTAAGGTGCACATGGTACTTTAAGCCAAGCACATGTGGCTTGTACTTGATTTGTGACTTTTTGTGAGACATTTGTGTTAGGTTTGATAGCAAAAACAGTTATCATTTTTGAACACTGTCCAAAAGACTCAATTTCTAAAATAAAATATGAATAAAGCCCACATTTTTTCTCATTTGTTCACATCTTGGCAAGACTCAATGGACTTTTTCGGCTTCAGCAACTTTGTTTTTGATGTCCTGAGGCATGGAGCACCCTGCTGTCAGACTCAAATATATTCTCTAGCTGTGGATATGGGGTGTCTGAGGCACATCAAATCAAGATCAAAGACTTCATAAACCCCTTCAAAATTTCTATAATGAAAGATTATATCTCTAGATACCCCATGCCAAATCTGGAAGAGTGCACTTCAGATACTACCGATTAATGAGGAGATGAATAAGTGAAGACCCTCTAATTTAATGTAGTCCACCCCCTTGCAGTTTTCTACTTAAAACCGATACAGTTTCCGGCACGGTTAAATCAGACTTTGCTGCATAAAACCAGCTCACCTTTTTCAAAGATCTCTTTCAGCACTCCTCTCTTGATCAGCTCATCTCTGCTCTGTCGCATTGACATCTTCCTCTCCAAAGCTGAGGGGGTAACAGAGAATAATGTTAAAGTCATTTTCATGTTGGTGAGATCTTTCAATAACACAAAATAAAATTTTAAAAAAATATGTCCTGATCTTAGAGGACCCCAGGCAAAATAGTTTGCCATCATAAGCTGTGTTTTTTTAGTACATTTTCTCCAGTGATACTGACAATAAGTAGAAGTCTCTGTGTGACTTTAGAAATAGCAGGGCATGGTTGTCAAAAAATCTCCATATTCTTTTTTAAGATAGAATTAGAAAGAAGTTCTGACAGCTTTAATACAACCTTTTAGAGAGTTTTTTGTTGAAAACATGACACCCGATTGCTGAAACTTAGAAGATAAGGGATTAATATAAATTATTATTCCAACTGAAGATGTAAAGAATGTTTTAAGCAGGTATTGAGCCATTTGAAAAAAAATTAAAACTATATATTTGGAAACTGTTTAAAACAGCTGGGTACTGTAGTTCTTAGCAAGCTATTCAAACAGAAGTAAGTAGACAATTTTAATCGTTTGGTGGGCTACTTATTATTTATGGCAGCAGGATGGATTATGTGAAATGAACACAAAATAAATTACAATGTCAATGTTAATTGTGATGACTGAACATGTCACCCAGTGCAACAATGTGGCTCATTAATGTGTTTTTAATAGTTGTTGGACAACAATAGAGGTATATGGAAAGATGTATCAGGCTTTGGCTACTTGTTAGTAAGATCAAATCATTGTTGTTTTTTGTCATTTTATGGGATTTGTCAATAAGAAAATAAGAATTGCCAAAAGATATCCTGTAAGTAAAAACATTTTTTAATGATTTACCTGAACATAACTGTATCTACAGTATATATCACTGGTGTTGTTGACAAAAGATGTGATCTTTTATCAGATATAAAAATGCAATTTCAGTTGGCTGAATAGCAGTATTAAAAAAATTGATTTTATTGTAAAGATAATCTGTGAAACAGCGGCTTCTCTTCTAAACAACTAAAGCGAAAAAACGAAATCTTGATTAACAAAAGCGATAAAGGATGGAGGAGATACACTAACCAACAACACTTCTCATAGTAATGCATTATGCAGAAGAAAGCATGTCCCATAGCTACGGCTTGCTTCTATTTTTAGCTTCAAAAGTTGAGGCACTTAACATCTTCCAACAGTAAGCTGAACAAAAGCAGTAAAAAAAAAAAAAAAAAAAACATGTTAGCATTTTCAAAATCCACCCCTGCATAGAAACCAATTAAGAATGTGAAATTAGGATCAGCAACAGCACTTGAGCCCAGTGCGCAGCATTTTTCTTGCATGCCTCTGTAGCCCTCGCTTAAGAGGGAGATCACAGATTGTGCCGTGTGTGTGCTTTACATATGACCCAGGAGTCCTGTCCCACCTCTGTCAGAGGGTGGTGTGTTCAATGCTAAATACATCTTCAGTGTGGATTCACGAAAATACCGACAGCTTGACCTCTCTTTCCCTTGCCCTTAGTCACAACACAGTGGATTTAAAACCAACTGCTGAGAGTCCAAAATTAAAAAACACAAATAAGAGTCATACAAAATGTCAGACGGGACAGGCCTCCAGGGCAGAAATTTGGATAATTTTGTGCTTCAGTGTTCAAAAATACCCCAGCAAAGCAAGTTATCATCAAACAGTATGCTCCACCATGAGCTCCTCCAGGATACCAGATGTTCAATATCAATCCATACTTCAAAAGTTTGAGAAGAAGCCTGTTTAAGATCAGCTCCAAGCCAGGAATTAGTTAGGCAGCTAAACATTTTTGGGGAAAAATACGTGACCAAAATGTGTGACACAAAGAATCATCTCCACTGGAGCCCTTCAAAGCAGTAAATTGAAGAATGTGAAATAAAAGAAATTTGTAGCCAATTGTAGATGCTACTTGGGTTTGGGTGCTAAATCCGACAGCTCCATTGTAAAAAAAAAAAAAAAGGGATTTTTTTCCCCACAGAGGAAGCAAACTTAACATTAGGTTGAGTATATCAAGGGGATAGTAAATAGACTTATCAAAAGAGTTGACCCAGAACAAACCTAGAGGAATTTTTCTGACAGAGTGAATGCAGCCAGTTCACAAAAATGGTTTCCCCAAAGCACTGCAGGCATCAAGAGGCAGTCAGACATCACACGTTTCCTTTCTTTGTACCTGTGCATTCTCAAACTTCATTAAAATTTACAACAGTTCAGAAACTGGAGTGGTTTTTCTATTAATAATGTCTGCAAGTTGAGCAGAATCTGGATAATGACAAAAGTAAACCCTGAAGTCCTCTGAAAATGTCATCAAAAACTAGGGACTTCTTCACCTTGGCAGTCAATTTTCATAAAACTCTCCAAACAACCCTTTTTAACTGAGAAGCACTGACTGCGCTATTGACTACAAATGTCAATTGAGGATGTGTTTTGATCTTTTCTTTGGAGACGTACAACATAAAAACACAAAGCCATGTTACAATAAGGTTAATATTTTTAGTCTCTAGAACATCTCTTTTTATTAAATACAAATTATTCATTGACACTTCATTTTAGCACCAATAATCAAAAACCTCAATTCGATTTGACATCCCTGGTGTGGGTTATCTGAAAATAAAATCTATTTATTTTATCAGACTTATTTGCCAGTCTTTTGCTTGACAGACACAATGTTCATCAGAATGACAAATCTCTTTAAAAATCATCAACTCTATGCCAGACAGGGAAAACCCCGGGCTAAAAGGTTGATGCTAGGTCTGCCAGTGCTGTAATATGTTCAGGGATTATACTGCGGTTTCATCCAAAATGAAAAGTAATTACTCAAAGCTTTATGACATAACTGCTATGCCATGGGATGTGCGCTGTTACGCAATACCATTAACTGAAAAGCCTTTGCGAGGATATCTTCAGATTTGACAGATATTGTGCGCCCATAAAACAAGAGAAGAAGAAATTTAATTTAACTAACCGCAGCAGTTGCTGCACTAGCCCGGGCATCCAGTCAGGAGTTAAAACACTGGCTGGTCTTTAAAAAAAAAACAACAATTTGTTTAATATTTTATGAATACATTAATAGTGTGCAAGAAGTGGAATTTCATGTTAATTTCATCATCGAGGTCCTGTGAGGGCTACACTCAAAAAAAATAAAATAAAAAATGCAGATAAAAAACTGCCACTCAAACCAAATATTTAACTTTGGTCCCGAGTATGATTGACAGGAACCACCAGGGCAAATCACCAGTTGCCAGGTTGAAATATTACTTGTGTGTGTTACTTAACTACTTTTCCAAAACTACTTTTATAGGCCTATCACTACCAGATAACACAATGCAATCTTTCATATCGGAGTATGAAAAGCAGAAACTGTCCTCTAAATCACCTTGAATATCAAGTTCTATTTTGGACAGTCCACCATGGCCCAAGTTGTGTCCAACTCTGCAGCCACTCAGTCTGCACAAAGATGAGAAGATTAGACGCTCATCGGGGAGACTCAGCTGAGAGCATATTAAATGAAACTGGCATATCCGAGTATAGCCTGTATTGATCTGAGAACACTACACTTAGTTTTTAGAGAGAATATATTCCACTGCGAAGTGACCCAGATAGTCAGAACAAATCCTACCAACCCCGAGGCTCTGTAGCTCAAAGTGGAGGCTTTTACCGCGGCAATTCTCTCAGCCTGAGCCTCACAAAAACTGTATTAAAACTTTAATGGAGTCTTTTATCAATGAGAAGCCCGAGCTTTAAGGCTTATATGCGAGTAGCTTGGCTAAACAAGCTCTTGACACATACAGAACGGTTCCTAATGTGACATTTGTTTTTCCTCTTCACACAGTATAGAATCAATGGAACCTTATGATATTCATTAAAGATTATGTTAATAAGAAACAGCAAGAATAGTGAATTAGATGACAGCTTTTCATAAGGAAAGCTGCTAACTAATTGGATTAGAAATGAAAATGAAGATAACATCAGACTACCACATGCATGTTCTTTTGATGAACCTCTGCCGAGTGAGATCTCTTTGGGATACAAGCTCGCTGCGAGGATGTACTGAGCATGATAAGACAGCATGATACGACATCCGACCATCAGGCCCTCCCAACCTCCTTCTTTCCTGAGGTGAAGAGTACAGTACCCCCAGAGCTGGCCATCATCTGCCTAATATCACAGCACATTCATAATCCTCTACTGTGCTCGGTGTCCAATTATCTACGACAACATCTGCATGCCCAGTGGCTGGTCTGCTCCCTGCTGACACAGGAAACATAATCAACAATGAGACAACTGCAGAGAAAAGAAGACAGTATGCGGGGACAGGAAAGTCCAAGATCATAGCAGTGCAGAAGGAATCCTGGCCATCAACTTTGTCTCGAATATGATAAATGTAAAAAAAAAAAAAAAAAAGGCAACAGGTTGATAAATGACCAACAGTGCCTGCTGGAGATTTCAAACAAAAGCTCAACCTGCCAGCTCAAGTATTTTATATTAAGTCTAGTATAGGGTCGTAATTGTGTGGCAGCAGTTTTATTATATCTGCTCAAATAAGGTCATCCCATTCCAGGCTGTAAGGAAAGCAATAAACAGGCTGCCGTCTTATCGTTGACAAATTAAATAAATTGTTGCACAAGTGCAGAACAGTATGCGCAATGTTCCATTTTAAAAACACAAATCAATAGCGGGGCTTACAGGTCAGCCAAAGTCGATGCCCTTTCCTAGATTAAACAGGCTGAATTTTGTTCCACTAAACTCAGCTTTCATCACAACAAAATTGTAGTTACAAGAGGACTAAATTAATGTGAATAATTACACCCAGCTATCGTTTGTTCTCTGATAAGGAGCAAGCAATTACTTCTTTCTCAAAGTGATTATTTTCACTTATCAGATTTGTTTCCCCATTTTTGCTCTGCTCTAAGATATATTAGAAATTGTCACCAAGCATAGTCGTCAAATACCGATGCTTTGGGTTATGGTAAATGGGAAAACAAAGTGGCTAAGACTCAGAGTGAGTTACATAACACAACACAACAGGTGCTGTTAATGCTCCCAGGTCTATTTAAATGCAGATTATTGGCATTCATTTGAATTCATGATTCTGACCTGACAAAAACTCCCAATATTCACAATATTCATCCAGCTCAGTTTTAGTCTACACCATCTTATATCTGAAATATCTGTCTCTTTAGCCACTAAACACGTCACTACATTCACCAGCTAACTTAATCTTACTTGTTCATCACTATTAGCGACCCCTTTGTAGTCATTTGAGCCATTTTTACGCAAAATATTTTAAATTTAAATTTGCCACACCGGCTCATGTTACTGCCTGCTGCACACAGGCCACATTCCTTTTATTTGGGACTTGAGGGTTCATGCTTCTCGCTGATCGATGTGACAGTGTGGGTGCAGTTGTAGTGGCGTCAATGTGGTGAAAGAACCCTGTCTGTGCACTGGAGCTCCTTGCAGGATTGTGTATGCCACCAAAGCTTGAAACAATGCAGAAATTCCATTAAGGGACCACTCTAGTGAGATATACTGGTAGGTCATCATAATCCACCATCATGTTGCTATCAAAAAGGGTTGAATAGAACAATAGCAAAAATGATTATTTGGAGACAGCAGCATTATGGATACAAAACAAGTGGATAACAAAGGCGATGGAGAGAGCTTTTTCACTCAAGTCCACTGTGCATTAACACTATTGTAACAGAAAAAAAAACCTTTTGTTGCTCAGCTCTTCATTATTGTCCTTCATCACAACAGGGGAGATGCTGTTATCAGAGAGCATACTGTACATGACTGTACCAATGAACAGAAAAACATCTCCATCAAATATGCACAGTCTTTTACAATACAGTAAAACATCAAGACATTAAGCATTTAATGCTTTAATATAGATTTCATCAGCACCTTTTGCAACCTACTAAAAATACCACTTAGTCCAGAGAGACTGCTGAAAACCATGTTGGAGCAGAAATACAAACTGCAGCCAAACAGCACTCTGGGAACAGCAACTGTCAAAGGCTGACAGGTTACTTCAACCTAAAAGTCAAATGTATGTTTGTTTTTGTTTTTTCCAATTGATGATGAAAAGTGATGAAAAGACATCACATAAGAGACAGAAAGAGAGCAAAACACGATTCAATCAGACAGAGACTGATTCATTCATCAAACTCACACCCAATACCAATGTAATAATATTACTAAATTAGAACATCCTGTCCTGCTTAGACCGGATACAGGTCTCTGTGCAATTGCTCATATTCTACAAAAGCAAGAATTCTGCCTCCAACCCGCAAGACGCAGTCTGACAATGTGCCTCCCTCCTGTCGACCAGGCTGACAGCAGAATTCCGGATGTGTCAGCCAAGGAAAATAAATACAGCCACATCTGAAGAAAGCATGTCCTTCACTCGCCCCTGACAACACTGGGCTGCGAGATCAAAGAAACTCTAAAAGAGACCTCAAAACATGAAACTCCAACGCTGCACTTTTGGCGAATCAATTTCTGCATTTGCAATCACCCTGGAGACTTAATAATTTTTCTTTTGGTCAAAAGGATATACACTGAATTTCTTTCCACAACCAGACATGGTACATGATAACGGGAAGCATGGTTGTTCATAACACAATGCATGTCTTTTTTCTGCATATATTAACATACTGTAGAATTAAGGAAATAAAGAGTCATGTACCAGCAGAGGTCTGCTTGAACTTCTCACTCTTCTTCTTCCTCCATTTCCAGGGCTTGAGGAGGCGTCCCAGAGTGGCAAACTTGCTCCGACGACGGATGGGTGGAGTGTGGGTGCCTGAGATCAAGGACTCAGAACGCATGGCGGCCAGCCTCTCTACTTCCTCAGCTGTAAGGGAACAAAAAAAATTTTAAAATTACAATAAAATAAAAAAAAAAAACAGGGTCTAGTTTAGGTGAGGATGCAGAGGTGGTGATATTCTGGTAATCATGCAGGGAGAGCTAGCTGTGAATGCAGCAGACATGTTTGCTTACAAAAACCCAAGCAGCAGGGATCTTTGCCAAGTGGCCTCCTGAATTCCCTCGTAACTGGATGAGGTTGGGAGAGGATAAACAAACCTGCATATCAGATAGAATTACGCAGGATACGCTCAGAGTCTAAACAGTTTGAGGCTGCATCACACTGAGAGGTTGGCATTAGCTTGCCAAAACACACTAAAGAGACTGATAAGCACCTCATTAAGGGGAAATCTTTCTACTCCTCATAAAATATTCACAAGGCCCGGCTTTTTACACTTTTACGTACCATTGGAGATCAAAAGCAAATGTTAAGCATTTTATTCTAACAAACCATTAAATGAAAAGGTGAGTACATGCTTTGTTTGAAAGATGTTGTAATTCAGGGCTACAACCGGCTCCACTTACATAAAAAAAAAAAAAAAAAAATAGACACCAGGGCACACACACAAGCTGTGCTCATGTGATGATGAAAATCTAAGGTTTTAGCTCCAGGGGTGTGATCATGAAGAGGTATTCAAACTGAAATCTCTGGCTCAAAACACGCTCAGCAGCTTGTGAACAGATCTAATAACTGTGAACAATGCTGGCAGCAAATAAACTATGATGTGCCTTTACACATGGAACCGTTTCTCTACTCTGCCGTTTAATGTTCTTACTGCAAAACTAACTGACATTAAAAGTAGTTCAAAAGCCGTAGAAATGAAATAACATGCCCCGACTCAAACAGCTGAATGAAAACATATGACTGGAGCAGTGGACCAGCAAGGTATTTACTAAAACTAATTTTCTCACCTAACTTATAAACAGCACTCACAGTTTTTTGGCTTCTTGGGATCAATGACAACCCAACTTTGACAACAATGAAACCAGACACAAGAATGGATACCAATGACTGCCTTTAAAGGTGGGACACATATTTAAATAGTAGTTTTGCTACAAAGTACAAAAAAAAAAAAAACCCTTTAAGTATGAACATACAACACTAATTGAACAAGACAAGCAAAAAAAAGCCTGTTCTCATGACTGGTCCGACTACAGTCCGTATGTGTGAGGTGACCTCTAGCACAGCGTGTCGTGTCAGTTGTCAGTGTCACCACATTGCATCAGATCATCACTCATGACATGCTGTCAGGAAATGTGCTGGTTGCTTGTTTTTAAATAATTAGACCACATTCATGTTTTGCCAACTCGACATATTACTTTGCAGGCCAGTCACCTCCCCAAGGCAAATGGACAGCAGGATGAATAATGTGACAGTAATGCAGTAAAAATCAGTGCCACAGACACTCACTTGAATGCTCTGGTGCCTCAGAGCCGACCATCTTAGCAATACTGACACCACACCACTCTATAAATAGGCTCTACAGTCAATGCTAATCGAATCCAGTAGAGATTCAAATTACTTCATTAGGAGGTCCAAAAACTTGATAGAGACAGGAAGACAAAGAAGCAAATCTAAGCAGAGTAACATCCAACAACCAAGTAGGACCCAGCACTATTGCATGTATGATAGACAGATTAAATTGACACTTTTAGTTCAATAAAATAAGTGCTTACAACTGAAACACTTCTTTATATATTACACATATTCTACATTCCTGAAATAATATACTATATGGACCAAAAAAAAAAAGCATTCTTTTTTTGGTGCATCCTGTGAAGATGAACCCTCTGTTTATGCTCTACCCAAAAGGTGGGTGTGTCTGTTTGTATTCCTCAAATACTATTCACTGTTTTTTACAGGTCCATTTCAAGGTAGAAACCCACAAGAATGTCTTGATGATTTAATTAATTAATTAATTACAATCTTGCCTGGCAGAGAGACGGGGGCTCAATCTGCAAAGTAAAAAGGAGAAATGGGTCTTCCAAGTGTCCCAACAGAGTGATTACAATGTGGTCTTTTCAGGGCAGGTGATCATTTACATGACATCTGGGGCACAATAGCATTTAAATCCCATCTTCACTGTGTTGCATATATAACCTACATTCTCCACTACTGTAACACACCACACTGATGTGGCTGCTTTTAATTAAAAACACTTGTTTGCATACCAAGATGGCTGAGTGATGATGTAATGACACTGAACTAGAAATGGCTTTGTGCAAACAGCCTGCACACTTCCATGCCATTTGAATGACACCTATAGGATGAATGGGTCAATTAAATAAATACTCAGGCTAAGCTTCCCACATAATAATACAAATTCATATATATATATATATATATATATATATATATATATATACATATATATATATATAATATAAACACACACACATATATATATATATATACACACATATATATATTCGTGACGCAAACCGACAAGTAGCAATCCAAGTCAGAGCCCAACCCTGTAGGAGGAAGTTCTGATCCAGTCAGAGGCAGTTTCCACAACAGCAACAGTGAATCACTGTCGTGTAGTGTTTTAAAAGAAAAAAAAAAGGTATACGTTGACCCACTTAAAAATTAAGACTACAGAATACCCCCGCACAAGCACAGACACACGAAGGAGACGCAGAGCACATTGAATGATGGAGCGCCTGGGTCTGGTTGTCAAGCGCACTAAAGGAGCCCAGAGGCATGGCAATCGGCGGATAATGAGAGGAGTATCCTGGATGGCGGTACCGCAGGGCTACTATGGGGCGAAACCACACGAGGCTGAGCCTACTCACCGTCCTGTGTGTCGTTCCCGCGACTGCAATTGCTGCAAATGTGCTTGATCTCTTTCCCGATGTGACAGTGGATCGTAAAGGGCATGTTGTTGTTGTGGTGGTGCGGATGCTGGCCGTGCCCTTTCTTGTTGCTGAGGGACATGATTTTGACCAGGCTGAACGCCTTTTTCTTGGGTTTCTCCACCGCCACGGGCGTGTTTTCTCGGCACCCCGTGGTAAACCAAGTGCCGTGCATGATGGTGGGCGCAGGATCCACAGTCGGGTAATTGGCCGTCTTGAACATCGGGGACGCGAAAAACGAGAGCGGCGCTTTGGTGCGCGGCGTTAGGACGGTGTGGTTTTTTTTTTTTTAAATTAAAGGCCCCATCAAATGAGTCCTACCTGTCCTACGTTAGCAGCTTCCATCGACCCCCAAAAAACCAGCCGCTTCTTTTTTTTTTTTTTTTTTTGTGCTGTATCCCCCGCACCTTTACCTGAGATCCCAATATGTGCAGCTACTCGGTTGCGCAATGCAAGAGTCCCCGCTGCCAGATCCAAGTGAGCTAATAATAAAATAGAGGGTGAGTAGTGAATGGCAGCGACTACCTCTCCCTCCCAGAGCTGTAGACTGCAGTCGGTTGTAGCTAATCCACGATTAGTGGAGCTGAGCAGTGAGGGCCTGTGATTGGCTGCACGGTGCGCTCCTCTAATAGGCCAGTGTGGACGGAGGAAAAGTTGCTCCTCCGATAATAGGATTCCAATAACAGTTTGTTTTTTTTGCAAGTTGCATTATATGATAGACCCTCTCTGTATTTAAAAACATTGCAACAGCAACTAAAACCCACCACTAATAAATAATAATCACCATAGGCTATTATTTAGTCGGAAGAGCTTTAATAATTAATCTAATCTTAAAACATCCCCTACAGACATGTATTCAGACATACACAAATAGTCTGCTTGCAACAATAATGTGTGTGTGATATGTTTTCTCTGCAAAAAAAAGTATAATTTCCTCATTAAAATCGTTAAAAAGACATCTACTCCTTCTACCTCATTAACAATCCCAGAATCTATGAATATGCAAACTGGGTTCATCTCTAATTTTTTCCTGCTGGATACAAGATGTCTCCACATTTTATGTGCACTGGCAGCTTCAGGTTTCTAAAATACACTTATATAAGTTGCATAGTGGGCCAGGTTTCATTTCCAAACTATTTGTGATGTGACAAATCATGCTCATAAGATCACCCCTGAAAAAACAGATGTTCAATGAACACAAAGAAACTCCACTTTCATGTTAAAACATCCTTCTAGTGTCAAACTCTGCACATATAAGAACGTTAAAAAAATGGAACAGAGATAAATAGAGCTAGACAACTTGGCAAATCCCCCAAAAAGTGAAAATGGTTAAATGCAAATTATTTCCTTATACAGATCATTGTAGTACTGGGTCTTGGCAACCAATAAAATGAAGGGGAGTGGACCTAAAATGGAGCCCTTTTTGAGTTGCTGCCAATAGTGGAGAATTCTATGTCTGAAAGGGAGCAGGTTCCTCTTGTATCCGCTGTTAAGTGAATGCTCCCTGTGCTATTTAAAGCCCTTGAACAGACATATAGATAAGTTGATTGTAAGTTTATCTGAAAAACTGCTTTCGTTTCAAGTAAACAGCTGAGAGATCTATGGGGTGTCCTATAGTTTTAGGGTTCCCTCTTTAAGTAACATGGCATAATACACCTTCTAATGGACACGTAGACTATGACACTATATATTAATCATCTCCAGGAATGCACATTAAATCCCACGCTACACTTTTGTGTGAAATACGAGCATATGAAACAGAAGAAACAATGACCGTCTGGTAGCTCATATACACACACAGGTATGTGCATCAATGAATTCAACATTATCCACAAATAACATCAATGGGTGATACATTAAGGATATGTCCACCAGGTTTATCCACCTTCTTAATGATGCAAAACTGATTACAAAGGCTAAAGTACTATATTAGATTTAAAAAGTCAGTTTTAAGTGCAAGGGACAACTGTAGTGAATGCAAAAATGATGACATCCATCTAATTCGGGGATAATAACAGACAAGAACTCAGAGAATTAAAATCAAAGAAAAGAAACACAGCAAAGGGACCGTAATCAGTGATCAGAAAGCTCAGTACTTCAAATGAGAGAGTTCAGCCTAAAGTAATAAGCATTAAATATTCTTTCTTTACATCACAAATTCCAAATAGCCACTTGCTTGATCCCTGAAGTTACTGAGCACATTTTGGGGTAATTGATAACATTAATGGCCAGTTAATGAGGCGTTAATCATGGAAAAGATAACAGACCCCACGGCATTTCCAATCACGTTTCCTCCAGAACAGTAATGGTCGTGGGTTGGGGGTGAGTATCTTTGATGCTTCTTCAGTGAGCAGCAGCTTATTCCAGTGACATCAAAGCCTTCTCTGAAATGAGGGACAGAGGCACTTGATTTACTCCCACCACGGTGCAATGCAGCAGCTGCCCTCAGTTGCCTCTTTTTGCTGTAAAGTCTCACTCCCTTGCATTCATTATGCTTTCAAAGTTTAGGAAACCAGCGAGAATGACCTATGAAAAACATTTTCCAATGGATAGGTTAATGGATAAAGGAGCAAAAGTCTGCCATGCATGAGGTACCACAGAAAAGTATGACCCTTATTCTGTATCTGTATGTCTGTTTTTTTTCTTTGCAGCAAGGACTCAGCCTGTGTACACGAGGCGCGCGTTCAACCAGGTGAGCTACCAAGGCAGCCCTAAAACGCCACTTTGGCCTCACTTTCCTATGAAATTATTTTTACAAAAAATCTGATAATTAAAGCTACAAGACAGGTCATTTGTCACCTGCAAGGAAGAATGCTCACATGGCAATGTGGTTATGTAACAACTGTGTCAGGCAGCGCTGATCAGCGCTCTGGCACATCACTTCGGTTAATGCATAAGAGTAAAATGTATTTAATACACTTTTAACTTTAGAAAATTTGTGTAGATATTGTTGCTGTTGATCTATTTGGATTTAAATTTCAAGCTTTAACTTAAACATTATTATTAACACTCTTTCTTCCTCAGAAAAAGTTGGTTTTAAGTTTGTGTCATTGCATTTTTTGTGTGACTAATTCAGCACAAATCCTGTGATCAAAAACAAAATAAATGTTCCTGTGGTTGACAACTTACCTGACACACAATAAACTTAAACTGACACAGTAAGCTCACCCAAAGCAGCTAAGAAGTATTTGCCAATCCTCTCTGACTCACATGATGGACATGTTGTCTCGTAGTGTTGCTGCCATGAAGCCTCAGTAAATGTTAGTTCTTATGTACCACTGAAAAGCAGGGAAAGCATGGATTCTACTCAAATTAATTCAAATTAAACTGTAACATAGTGAGATTTTACTTGAAAGAGAGTTAATAATGATCTTCCTTTAATATTTTGGATTCTGGTTTGAGCTGGTTTCCATGGATGCGGTGCAGGTTTTAGGCTAAACAATCTTACAACTTCCGACTGAGCAGCCTGTCACTACAAATCTGCTGTTCCTATTCTCCGTGTATCTCTCTGTCTCTTCCCATCTGTCATTCTCTCTCTGCATTATTATCTGTCTTACTCTCCCATAGTTACACACAGACACAAAGTACCACATTTTCTTTGACACAATCTAAAAGGGAATTAATTATACAAGTGCAGTGCCTTTGCCTTTTCTCAATTTGCTGTAGGGAAACGTGAATGACAGTTACGCAATTATAATCTGTGAGGAGAATGATTCCTCACAATTTGTTTTTTTTTATGCAGTTCTTGGCTCCACCTTCAGCTTTAAGCTCAGTCTTCTGCTTGACAGGCAGCAGAGTAATGTGACATGATTATGTAAAGTCCATAGACTGCAACACTTCAGGAGGGAAACAGAGATGTATTCAATGTATTCATTTGAAAAAGAAATCAAACACAGAGCAAGAGACAGACAAATGTCAAACTGAGATAGAAATGTATCCACTTGGTTTTATAGAAAGTTGTTTGTGTCGACAACTTTCCCTCTTGACATTAATAGTCACTGTGAATATAATTCTGCTCAGCCACTGAAGCCAACAGAAATGTTCACAGAGTACTGTCACAGACTGTCAGGGACTGTGGTAAGATGCTTGCAACTACAGTTCCAGAAAACTGTAAACAGATGACTGCTCGCTTCTCATCTTGTTATAATCCACTCCTGCCTGTCTTTTCCCCTTTTCCTCCTGGTTGTCTTGCCCTGTCTCAATATGTTTTCTGTACTGCTGGGTACACTGACAATTACAAAAGGGCAAGTTAACAGGTTGTACCTGATAACTTGCGTGATATGTACTTGAAGAATTTTGATTTCCTAAAAATAAGTGAATACTTTTGTGTAGTTTGATAATTTCAGTTTCTAATGGATAACCAGTATACTATCAACATTTTCATATAGAGCATCTCTTATTGTTTCTAAAGTAAGAAAGTAAAGATATGTGAACACAATTGAGAAAAATGGACAAAAGTGTACATGTGATCATTTGGTTTTCCAAAGCCAATAAAACCATGTCATCTACGTAACACTTGACTTGCATATATACATTGTTGTTGTTGGTCATTGTTGCCTATATACCTATTCCTCATCTACTTGTCTTTGTTTTTAGCTCTATGTCTGTTTCTATTCTAATTCTATGTGTAAGTGCATTGAGAGCAATGTAAAAACCGGTGTCAGATTCGTTGTACGTGTAGGGCATACACATGCTTGGGCAATAAAGCTGATTCTGATAATGTAATCACCAGCATGTATTGATATTGTGTAAAAAGTTTACATTATAAGACCTTTATCACATTATATGATGCTATCACATTTTGCACGGTATTCATATTATGAGATACTACACAAGTGCCTAAAAGCATACAAAATACTGGGTTGTCGCAGTGCCAGGTGAAGGAGGCAACTCTACTTCAGAAACTTATCCCGTATAACAATGCCGCCACCTAGTGGGGTAATTTAGTAGTCTACTTAATAACTTCACAGCACACTCAACAATGAACAATGATTGAGTGAATTAGAAATTATCCGCTGCTTATTTGTCTCTTTAATCACAAAAACGAATACGTGTCATTCACAATGCCCTTTGAGCTTTCTAAATGCCAGGAATATTATTATGAGAAAAAAAAAATCTTATGAAGTGAACTTCTGAACCTCATGTACAGAAAGACACCAGCCAGCATCCTTTGCACTTTGCACCATTGTGGAGTGTCTACAAACGTTATTGTGTGTTTATATATATCTATGGGCTATGTAGAACTGTACATAGTAGTTTATGTCTATTTTGTTGAACCTGTTTATTCATGCCTTTTCTGAGTATGTGCATTAAGAGCAACGTAAAACCGGAGTCAAATTCCTTGAATGTGTGCACCAGAGGCATTAAGATATATATTCTGAATATATATATATATATATATTATATTCTATATTATACAGATTATTCTTGATTCTGATTCTGCCTTGCACGTCTGTACGTAATGACGTAGTGTGTCAACTTCCCAAAGAGAAGATGCGGATGCGTCGGACGTGGCTTCCATGTTCCACATTCAGACGTTATCATATGCTGCAATGTTAGCAAATTTCCACCTTCAGACGTAAAATGTGATGTTCATAACGCCAAAATGAGCAAGATATTAACGGACCATGGTGAGTGTTTAACACTCAACTAAACTTACCTCGATTCAGTCCGCATTTTGCCCTAACGCTAGATAAAAAAGATAGTGTTAGAAAGTGATGTTTTGCGGTAACTTAAAGGCTAATGCTAACGGAAAACGGTGCGGAATATTGTAGCGCTGCAATAAATGTGTCGCTTATTTCCCCCCTTCAAAACAGTCGTCTCCTGTGCTGTTACCTCACAGTTCTAACATTTGTTCCTTCAGGTTCCCTTCCCCTTTCCTCTCTCCGTCTTATCGTCCCGCCTCTGCAGCTTGTGTCTGCAGCTCTGTGGGAGATAGTGAAGCAGGGAGCTGTGATGTATTACGGTCTGCTGGAGGAGTTCGTTAGCACAGTGTTGGAAACGGTCCCTGAACTGCTCACAGACACAGAGAGAGTCCAACTAGTTATGGGTCTACGTGCAAAGGTAGGAATAAGAGGCTAGATGCATTGGTTATTCTGTAATGCTGCTGGTACTACCTGGAGGGTTCAATATGCTACAGATATGAGAGATGAGGTGCTGCAGGGGTGGAATGTAATTTAGTGCATTTACTCAAGTATTATTACAACTTTGAGGTTCTTTACTTGAGTACTTTCTTTCTGCTACTTTATACTTCCACTCCACTACATTTTAAAGGGAAATATTGCACTTTTTACTCCACCACATTTTATTTGACACTAGAGAGATACTGCAGAAAAAGATAACTGAATAAAACATTTATTTTTAATTTTATAAAATATGGTGAAATGTTAACTATGCTCTTGCTTAAACTATGCTATACTAATAATAATTCCTCCTCCACCAAGCATAGCAAGAAATGCTGAAAATTATGCATCGGTAATGATAAAAAATGTATTAAATATATGTAATAAAAATATTCTGCACAAGAGGCATTTTTACTTTTTACATTAAGCTTATTATAGTCTACTTTTATAATGAAAACAATTGTAGGATTGCTACTTTTACCCTTTTTTAAAACCGGTTTTAAATGTTGAAAACAGCTTGCACAGTTATTTCATTTCTGATTGCTCCAGAAAAAAAACAACACATTTTTGATCTCACCTGCTGTCCACCCAATTTAATAGATTTTTTACTTATGCCCAAACCCATGAATTTACATAAAAATATATTTCTTCCTCATTACTCAACATATTTGCGGGTAACCAACCTTGTGCAGGACTTTGACAGGAAGTGCCCTGTCAGGTGGGGAAGAATTGAATCCGCAGTTCCTACAGTACTGTAGAAAAACGAGTATGTCACATTTTCAGTACTTTGGCATCGACTTGGTACCGAAGTGTCGCTTCTCATGACATCCCTAACGACATCATTACACTGCAAGTTTGAGTTTATGCTGGCTGTGAAAGGGGGAAGATGTACAGTGTATACTTTAGAATAAGCCAGCTAATTCAACCAGGTATCTCATACTCTGGATAAACCTTGCACTTAACTGTTTCGTACCATGTTATTACATGTACGTGCATCAACACAAAAGCAGGAAACTCAAGTAACCAATTTTATGTAAATACAGCCATTGCTCTGCTCAAGGTGCTTGAGACAAGCAAATGTTAACTTCAGACTGAAAGGATCATTTGTTTTAAGGATAACTGCTAAATCAGGTGAATGTAATCACAATCTACCCATGCACGGACTCAAATTCACACCTCCTTATGTGACTTTAGTTGACAGCCTTCACTAAATAGTTCTGTCTCTTGATATGCCAACAGTTGGTGCTAGAGTTGTGCCGCAATGATGATTTCGCCAGCCCACAGGCCATCCAGCCTCATCTGAACAGAATAAACACCTACATTCAAAACCAGGATGAAGAAGTAGGTGCTCTTGTTAAATATCTATCACTCTTTGTGTCATTTGCCTTTACTTACATTTGCTTTATTATTTGCTATTTTAAGACATCCAGTTCTGAGGTTAAAGCATCAGTGACAAACTTCCTGAAGCTTGTTCTCACTCTAGTGGATGATCAGTGCCAGAGGGAAATTTTTTATCAGGTGAGCTGTTTGGTACTATATCATATTTTAAAATTATTTGCATTTATTTGGTTAAATGTCTTCTTAAGGGGCAGTATTTTGTGAAATGTAATACGTAATACTTAAAAATATTTTCCTCTTTATTCTTCAGAAAATCTTCCCAACAATGTTCGGCCCTAAATATGACTCAGCCTTACAGGCTCTAATGAGAAAATTCCTCTTCAATCTGCAGAAGCTGCTGCCTGTTCCAAACCTCGAACAAGTAGGTACATGACAAACAATAATCCTGGGGCAAATAAAGAAAAAAAATATATGGATAATTAACATTTTTAACAGTTTCAGGGGTACAATTTATGTTCAGTATGTTAACCGTATGCTTGTAAGTAAGCACAGAAACAAATAAATGTTTATACTGTTATTCCATCCTATTTGGTCTGTTGATTGTAACTTGATACTCCTGATATGCTCTTCTCATAAGTAGAAAATTCCGAACTGTAGGTGTGTGCTGGAGGGTTTTAAGAAAATTTGTTTTCTAACCTTCATGTAAAACTGTGTGTGGAATAAGTTTTATATTACTTTTCCTGCCTTTATGAACTTGTTAAGTAATCAAATCTACACTGATGCATAAATTTGCTGTTACTAGAAGAGGAATTTACAATGACCCGTTTCCACTAGTTTTTCCCTTCTCTGGGAGATGTTGAGAGACATTCTGGGAAATGTTGAAAATAATTAAGTGATGTAAATGTGCACAAGGAAATTTGCTGGACTGCTGTTATGATAAAAAATAAATTATACAATATATCTCCTGAGATGCAAGTGTGTAGTTAATATAAAATATCAGAAGTTGATTTGAACTGTTCTGTTCCATTGCCAGACTTCCCTTTGGCTCAGTCTCTCCCCGCCTATCTTAAAAGAGTGTGTAGACTTCATGAATCAACCTGAGCCCCTGAATACACTCATTCAGCATCACAGACATCATGGGCATAAAACTTCACAAGGTAGTACTTACATTTTCCACATAATTCTTGTATTTTGTATTAATGTTTCTTACATTTTAGTTATTGAAAATAATTTGTGTTTGTCACTTTTCTTGTCTAGCTTTATCTTCCTCTGGTGATGATTGCATCCTATCCAGCCTGTCCTATCACCTACCAACGTGTCATGTGGACGATGACAAAGGAGACACACTTGTCAAATCTGGATCCACGTGTGTCTTACAAGAGGGACAGAGAGATAACTTATTTGACAGTGAGTCAAAAAAGGATAAAGAAGAAAAGGAGATACAGTCAGAATTGCTTAGCAGTGTAGAAAGAAACGGACAGCAGCATGTTGATGATCTGACTGAAGACCAGGGAGCTTCTGTTGAAGTAATACTTCAACCTTTTGATGAAACTGAGTCGAACGATGATGGCGCGGACAAAAAATCGTTTCACCATTTGAAAACTGGCAGTAGGACATCAACCAAAACCTTCAAGTGTCTTGTTTGTGGCCAAGATTTCAGTTCCCTTAACAAACTAAAGAAGCACAAGATTACCCATAGTGGTTGCTTTACAAACAGAATGAGTCAGTCTGCAAGCCAAAGTAGTTTTTTTGAAAATATAAATTTACACCCTACACTAAAGACTTGTATTGTGAATAACGCTTGTAGAAGCAAGACTGAGCTTTCATCTTTAGAAAGTGTCACAACACATAACCCATCAAATTTGATCAGTCTTCCAAACTTTGAGCAGTCTAATGACTGTAGTCTTGTTTGTCATATTTGTGGGAAGGTTTTCACTTACCCAAAGAACTTTGACAAACACCAGAGGGTTTGTGTGGTCAGTAGTAAACAACAAGCAGAGACAGACCCACAGTGTTCCACAAGCTTAGCTCATCACTCCAAACTAAACCCGGTTCCCAAGGCCAAAGAGTCTCTCACCAGTGAAACGGGAACCGGGCCTTCAGTATCTCCGGACTCACACCAAGAGCAAACGCGTAAAAGAAGCAGGCGTGTCAAACAATGCTCCGTATGTGGGAAAATATTTACCTGTTCTACTGACTTGATGAGGCACATGACATCCCACACTGAGCAGAGTCCTTACCTTTGTCCTTACTGCGGGAAAGACTTTGACAACTATGAAGACTGTGAGACACACCAGGAAGGTAAATGCAGAGTTTCAAACCAGCATTCACAGGACAATTCCCTGAGTAACGCAAATAAAAGGAATCAGGAGAATACAGTTTCAAGTGGTATGGGTGAAGTCCCGATAATCACAGATACAGCTGCCAACTCGCTGGATATGCAGCTGTGTAGATCACCTCTGACGTGTCAGGAATGTGGCCAGAGTTTTACTTACTACAAGAGTTTTGAGAAGCACCAGAACAAATGTTCCAAAAGAGCACCTCGAAGGAAAAAAAGAACCAACACGAACCCTTTCGTTATCAATGCATGTAATTTACGACCAGCGGATAATACCAATGGGAGCCATGCCGAAGCTAGTTCAGAAACAGCAAAAACTCCAACCTCCGCAGACCACGCATACGACTCCCAGGCTACGTCTCGCACCATCAAGTGCACCATGTGCGAGAAGAACTTTTCAGAAATCGTCCTCATGAAAAGACATTATTCCCAGTCACATAAAGTCAGAGGCTCATACCCCTGTCCTTTATGCAAGAGAACTTTTGTGAGGTTGTGCGAATTGGTTCGACATCAGCAAAACAAAAAACTGTACCAGTGCGCCGTCTGCAAGAAATGTTACACAAAGCCAGGACTACTGAGTGATCATGAAAAAGTACACACTGCAAGCGTGACACCGCGCATTTGTGAGACCTGCGGGAAAAGCTTCAAATATCTTGCTCATCTGGTCCTGCACCAGAGAAAGCACAGAGAACGGCAGCCTAGCGTTTGTTCCGACTGTGGGAAACAGTTCAGTACAAAAGACTACCTGAGAGCGCATATGGTGAGGCACACAGGTGGTTACCCGTGCCCAGTGTGCGGGAAGAAATTCTTTCAAAAAACATACCTTAAATGGCATCTGTACAAACACACAGGGCAAGAGCCGTACCTTTGTGACACATGTGGGAAAGGCTGGCCGAGTGCAGCTCAGCTCAAGCTTCACATGGTTCAACATACAGAGGAAAGGCCGTTCAAGTGTGAAGACTGCGGCGTGTGTTACAAGAGGGAATCGCATTTGATGGCTCACCATAGAGCCAAACATATGCGGTTGCGGCCGTTCGTGTGCGAGATATGCAGCAAAGCCTTTAGGTTAAACAATGAGCTGAAAAAACACATGATGGTTCACACAGGGGAGCGGCCATTCACGTGTCCAAGATGTGGCAAAACATTTACGAGAAAGTCTCGCCTTAGGGAGCACAGAGAAAAGGCATGTCTGTAACTTTATGCTGGTTGTGCACCATGTAACAGCCTATGTATTTTACCATGTTAATGTGAAATACTACATTCTACCACTTTATACAGTACATACATGTACCATAAGCTGTCATCAACTATGTCTCAATATGTACGATGACTTTTATAATTAAGCTACACGTGTAAATAAACTACAGCGTTTTGATTTTGATTGTGAATGATTTTCATTCAGTGACAATAAAAACAACAGTGTGTCAAATCAAAGTCTTTTCTTAAATGTGCTGATATTTAAAAGAAGCAAAAGGCTGTCTGATAGAAGTAGGAGAAAGACTCACAATTTGGATAATTTTGTATGCATCCAATCCAACAAAAATTGCACAGAAAGATAGAATAACTGGTGAAACTTACACTCCCAGGGCTATAGTTCTGTAACATCTGTTATGCTTAATGACATGTCTAAATAAACCCAGGAGACACATAATGCATAGTGCATTTCTTGATTAATTTTGTTTAAAACTTTGTTCAGACATTTATTTTTGATGGGAGTCGAGCTGAAACGTTTTGTCAACAGAAAATGAATGGGAAACTCAGTTTAGAAGCAAAATGCCATACATTTGGGATTATCTTCATTGTTTTGTATCATTATAAACTGAATATCTTTGGGTTTGGACTGGTGGTTGGACAACACATGCACTCCATAGATGTCCACTTGCGCTTTGGGAAACAGTGGCAGACATTTTTCACTAATTTCTAATGTTTATAGACCAAACTATTAAATTCATTGAGAAATAATTGCCAGATTTGATCATGGAAGTAGCAGCAAAAAAATGGTATGTTCTTGTTTTCTGCAAAGTGTTGCAAACAATTTGATTAAAGAGACTTAAGTTTTTGAAATAAACAGTTTCATGATTTTCTATTTTTTAATCAGACTGTATTATGAACTTCTGCTGATGCCCAGTGCAGCAATAAGCTAAATCGGCACAGCAGACACTACTTAAGTAGAGCACAATGTGGTCAAGCTCTCGCAGAAGTAAAGGCAGCCAAGTGCACTATTATTACATATATTGTATATTGTAGAGTATTACTGATGAATTCACATATAGAATCTGTTGGAGAAAATTAGATCATTTTTAACTGATTAGTCTGTAAAATGCCCCAAAAGTGTGAAAATGGCAGTCAAAATTTCCCATAACTATAGATCATGTCTTGACATTGCTTGTGTTGTGTTATGTTGTCCATTCACAGCGATATAAGTGTAATTTTTGCATAACCTTGTGCAATACTGCTGCAGAAAAAGCATTGCTCCACCAGAGAGCAGTGGTGCTCCAGGGACCGGTTTCATCAGCCAGAGTCCAACTGTGTTTCATGTGCAGGATCTATAAGTTGAGTCATTCTTAATTTCATAGACCACATCCCATAAAATGGCGTGATGCAACACATTTCTATGAATGCATGTCCAGCTGTCAAAATGAAAATGACTTTTGGACTACAGAACATTTCGATATTAGAAATTGTTATGTATGATAGTAATCCTCAAGTTTGAGAGGATAAATATGAAACTAATGTTAAATCTTTCATTAGATCTGTTGTCTCAAGCATCAGACCTAATTTCTATACTGAGCATCGTCTCTGCAGAGCACAGAGGAACCCTCTATTTTTCACTTTGTCTGTTTTTCCACTTTGTCTGCTAATTAAGAAACAGTATTGCAGGCAAGGTGATAGAGGGTGACAGACAGCAGCTTTTTTTGGGGGGGGAATGAACATCTCTGTAATAACCGCACAGTAGAGATGCAAGGACATTTCTCTTAGTTCTGTTTAATGAACAGTGCAATAAGGGGAAAGGGAACACTGCATGCTTTCCTATTTAGAGTCTGGAAAGGGCTGTGGACAGGATGTGCTATACAAAATCTAATTTTGATGTAATAAAGTTGGTTATATGCTCATAAAATCGCTACTTGACAGCAAGCAAGTAAAATTCGAAAGAAAAGAAATCCCACAAAATGAAAGCAATCTTCAGTGGGCTCTGCAACACTTACTGGTAGGCAGACTGTGCCATGCCTCTGGGATGTTCTGGCTGTCTGCAGAGACACTCTGATTTTTCTTTGACTGAAACCTCCATCTGTCCTGCTCGCTCTTGATGAACACCACAGTATGGAGTGGACTATCAACTAAAGAGCTTAGGTCCCCTCTGGCCTCCTGCTGGAGTTAAGACTTATATCTCCTGGTCTCAGGCACAGGTAGCTCAGCATTATATAACACGTAATATCAAAGAGTTTACCTGGTTACTTATGAGCCCTGACGTCTGTCATAATTGCAGGCGTTACTACAGAATAATTCCCCATCGACCATGATTTTAAATCTGTAATGTTGTCTGGTATTATTGATACAGCAATGGTACGGCAAAGTATCCTCTATGAGAAAATAAAAACTGCATGGTTAAAGGTCCAGCTTGTAACATTTAGGAGGCCCTATTGGCAGAAATTGAATATAATATTCATTGGCATGTTTTCATTAGTGTATAATCACCTGAAAATAAGAGCTGTTTTCATTACCTTAAAATTAGCCTTTTATCTATAAAGGGAGTGTGCCACCATGTGGAACCACCATGTTTCTACAGTAGTCCAGAATGGATAGACCAAACACTAGCTCTAGATAAGGCGAGTTTTGCAGCCACTGTTAGCGTCCAGCCAGGGACCTTAGCCGCTTGTCGGTCCCCATATATTCCTGTCCACTCATTTCCTGTTATAACTCTACTGCAATTATTTAATAAAGGCATAAAAAAACTAACAAATTATAAAACTCAATCTGCTTTGACTGTCATGTAAAACAAAAATGAAAACTAAGTTTGGTCTCAAGATTTTCGTTTTAGTTTTAAAGCACATATGTGTGGAATATATATTATATAGCAACACACATTTTTCGACAAAATGTTTCTAAAGAGACATACGTATTTAACTCATTGCACCCTTAAATAGATACAGGTAATAGAGTGAATGCTGTTTATTTTTAGTCAAGTTTATGACATGAACATGACTTTATTTATAATTAGTATTCAAACTTCACATTTTATCACACTGTTACTATGTAATGTGATCACAAAATCAATTCTACATTGGATCTGTCCGTAAAGAATAGGAGTAAAATGTCCCCTGGTTCAATCAGTTAATTTCACAGAATTATTCTCTTCAGATCTCAGTCATTTATCCTGTAGGCTACTGGTCTGTTTTTGCACAGACTTACATAACTGTCTGAAAAGTGCAGGCATAATTTACCATACTGTTCTGTGCAGAGAATACACACAGGCTACATCTCTGTTCTGAAGAGCTTCATGACAAAATAAGGTTTGTACTATAACGTAAAAAGTAATATCTACTCTACATTGCTTAACAGCAAAATTGAAAGAAGGATAAATGACAGCTGAACCTGAAATTTTTATATTCTAAAAATACAGAATGGCAATGCTTTTCCAAAATGGAAGCTGGAATATTATTAATTTGTGGTTTATATTGTGACAAAACATTTGAGAATCACTCATGGACTGAGGTTTGACAAAGATCGAGTGGTGTAGCTAATCAAATATGGTATAATAATACACATCAGCTGTTAATGTAAACGGTTCCTTACACCTCATTTAAATAATAGAAATACTGACCATGTTTCGAAGCATAAGAGCCAAAATGTATCCTGACTTTTATCATTAAAATAGGATTCAATTTTGAAGGACTGCTGAGTGGTGCAATGCAGCTTTGATTGAATTGAGTCCCAGGTTTGCAGCAGTGTAGAACGGATTCTGACTCTGTAAAGTCTCTTACTCAGCAGAAATGTCCTTAAGAGCTGGTGCACTATGGGAGCTACACTGGTGACGCCAGCAACAAATGCCATTCTGTAGACATTCATCATATCCACTTAATGGATGCCCATCGTTTGTCCCCCCACCTGCTTGATGTTATCTCTCGGAGAATATACATTTTGTTATCACGGTAGATATCAGGGATATCACCCACCCATTCTTCAGGCAACAGAGTGCTGCCTCTTTACTTTTATACCCTTGTACCCAACTGAAATTATTGCATGTTGCTTTAAATTCAGTAAAACCAGCATTAGAGAGTAACAGTGATTCAGGCGGAGCTCTCTCCTCCAGCATAATTGGTTCCTTGGCAATGCTGTCTTTCAGATTGCAGTGGTATCTTTTACCCCTCTCTGCCCAATGTGCTGCCACTCTTACTATAAATATGACCCATAAGCACATCATCATGCAGCTTTCTTCAGCTTGGGAGGCTTTTGAAATAGGCGTTATTTCTCAGCTGGCGTGTGGAAAAGCACATCACAGCCAGGAGCCTTTCCCACACTTGTAAGTGTGGCAGAAAGAGAGAGACAGAGAGATGAAAAGAAAGCAGAGAGAGAGAGAGAGAGATTCTGGGAAGATGCAGCTTCCTGCAGGCTCTCATAGAAGACACCTGCCTGTCGTTTTCTTTGAACCATTTTGCTCCAGAGGTTGGGCAGGTTTTCTGGCCTGGTGACACTGATGGTTGATTGAACTTTTATGCAGCAGGAGCATCCAGTAAGGGTCCTAGATTGCTATTTTTGCTCTGATTTTTCCACTCATGTTTTATTCAGACCCGGGATGCATCAGCACGAGAAGGCCTGTGTGCAACCAAGGAGAGAAGATGGATGCTTGGTTGTCTTTTGAGATGCAGAGCTGTTAGTCTATCATATGATGGTCTGAAATGTCAGCCATGTGCCGCGTGCTTGTGTTTGGGAGGCAGAAACACAAAATGTATATAAATCTCTTGCTACTAATTATCACCACTTTGTTAAACACTTTTGCTAATAGCCTCTGGTGTTGCTACAAACAGCTAAAAACATTACAAATTCAACAGCCTCTGCACTGGCGCCAGCCCAACTAGTTAATCTGAAATTCACTTTCTCTTTGAAAAAAAGGACTGACAGTTCGAATTGGTAATTGAAAATTCTGCTTGTTCTTGACCTTGCAGTCCCATTTAGCATGCCTTTTGAATTCCAACAACTAGACTAGACCTTATTCTATGAGAGTGTATATGCAAATAATCAATAAATAATTAACAAAGTAGTGAGACACAATACAACAATATTTGCACACGTGTCCTGTCTAGAGAGGCTGCAGTTAAATCTCTCCCGGTGCCTGTATGAATCGTTTCTCCTACATACATTAAATCCTCTGGTAAACCCTGCTGGCACACAGGGCTCTGCAGCAGAAATTTGTCCCGTCCCACCATGCATCTAGTGTGTATTGATTGTACTCTTTCGGACAGTGGTGCTTACTGTACACAGGGATTGCAACACAGAGCAGCAGCAGTGGGAGAGAGAGAGACAGAGAGAGATGCAGGGAGTGGTGGGTGGTGAATGAGTTGAGTTTAGCTTTTTTTAGCTTAATGTGGCTGCAACACAGAGCCAGATTTGAACACTGAATTGTGAGACAGAGAGTGCATGTACTGTACATATCT